GATTACATTATTCATTTTTTTAATGGGAGATCTGCTTGAGTTTTCTATATATTTGGTTATTAATACCTTGCCTGAAGTATAATTTGTAAATTTTTTCTCACATTTTGAGGGTCGTCTTCCCATTCTAACTATTGTTTTCCTTCTTGTGAGGAAGCTTTTAACTTGATATAATCCTTCATGTCTATTTTGGGGATTATTGCCTATAATTTAGAGGTCTTATTTAAGAAATCTTTTCGACTTCAATATCTTCAAGAGTTTCCCCTAAGTTTTCTACTGGCTGTTTTAAAGTTTGAAACTTTACGTTAAAATCTTTGATCCATTTTGAGGTGATTTTTGTTAATGGTGAGAGATAGGGGCCCAGTATTTTTTTTTTTTTTTTGCAGGTAAATATTCAGTTCTTACAAAATTATTTGTTGAAAAAACTTTCTCCATTGCATTGTCATGTACCCATTCTCAAAGATCAATTGACTGTATTGTTTGAGATTTATTTGGATTTTCCATATTGTTCTTTAGTCTTTGTGTATTTTTGTGCCAGTACCATGCTGGTTTTATTATCACCACTTGTGATTTTATTTTTTTTTTTGAAGTTGGGTAGTAAGAATGCCCTACTTTATTCTTTTTGCTCAGCATTACCTTGGTGAATATGGAAAAATTTTATGGTTCCTGAAAAATTTTATGATTGATTTTTCTGTTTCTGTGAAGAATGTCACCAGCAGTGTGTTCAAAATTGTATTGAATGTTTTCATTACATTCCGCCTGTGCTAGTAATTGTGATTATTCATGGTTTAGAAACACAAATGTATAGAATAATGTTTAGCCTCTGGAACTAATATGATATAACATTAGATTTGATACTAATCTTCAAGTAGCTTTGCTAATTTAATTTTAAAATTTGTATTACATGGAAGATTTTTTTTTGGGGGGGGAGAGATTTTTGCTATAGGGCACATGCGTTCACCAGACAGACAGAGAGATAGAAAGCGAGAAATCACCCCCTGGGGGGATGGCCATGCTGCAATCCCTTCTCCTCCATTCTCCTCTCGGAATCTTGGGCACGCATGCACATGCGCCTGGCGTGAGTGTAAGCTGCTAGGTCCGGGACTCGAACCGCGGTCATCTACGTGGCAGTCCAGCGACATAGCCATTACGCTAACTGCTGGTCCCTTACATAGAAGATTTTCACAATCAAAAATTCTCGTTATATTTTGCTTTGTCTCATTTGAAAAGGACTTTAAATAAAATCTAAATTTTTGACCAGGTTCTTTACTTCCCTATAGCATTTTGTTCCTGTTAATCTCCAGCCTCAGTCTAGTCTATCCTCTTTATCCCCTGTTTGCTTTCAATCACAATGACCTGTCAGTCTCCAGACCTTTCTCAACTCTTCAATGTGGAAACTGTCCACAAGTAACAGTACCTCTCACAGGAGCAACTTTTCATCCTTTGGACTTCAACTTAAATATAAACTTTTAATAAAGACCCCCCCAAACTTATCTGCAATAGATTCTCCTAATTATTTGCTTTGCCAGAGGCACAGATGCTTACTATGAAAGATAGAAAGAGGGAGAAAGTAACCCCAGGGGAGAAAGATCAGTCTACAATTCCATCTCCTCTTTTTCTCTAACTTATCAGGACTTTTTGGATGCAGGCACTATCATCTTTTGTGTTTTACAAAATACTATAACTGGAATTTAAACTGCAGTTGGCCGTATAAAGCCTAGTTCCATTAATCACCATGGCTTTAGAGACAGCCTCATGTTATTTTTAAAAGTATGAGTAATTGGTTTAATAATTGATTATTACAACTAAATTAACATAAGATTCTAACACATCTGATCCCACATTTTTGTTTTTTATTTTTGGTTATAGAGCACATGCACTTGCCAGAGAGACACAGACAGATTGAGAGGGAGTGAAAGAGAGAGAGAGAGAGAGAGAAAGAGAAAGTGTAAAAACAACTCCCAAGGGGGATGGTTATACCACAACCCCTCCTATCCATTCTACTCATGAGATTTTGGGCACACATACACATGCCTGGTGTGTTTTTCAAGTCACTGAATCTGCTCAACTCTCACTATGGACTCAGAGAATTGGATCCAGTGCCTTAACCTCTACACCACTTGCTGGCCTAACTAATTTCACACTTATGAGCAGAAAAAAAAATTGATTTGATTAAAAAGAAAGAAAACATTACTAGGATACAGAGGGAAATATGTGGAGATATTTTCTTTGAAACAAAATAACTAGACACATGTTTTGTTATTAACTGGCAATAATTTCATAATGGTTCTAAAGCTATTTAGTTTTATAGAAATCCCAGGGCATTTAATTAAGCAAGAATGAGTATTGGACATACTCCAATTATACTACTCGATATTATGTGTAGTTAGAAGGTATAAAATGTCCAGTGATCTTGGCCCCTGTTAAGGAAGATACTATTCTCTTAATAACTCATAGAGCTCTTTTAAGAAGAGAAGTAACTATTTCAAGAATGTGATTTTAAAAATCTGGGTAGAACTAGGTTGGAAATGCTAACACAATACAATGAGAAGGGAAAAAAGCCTGAATGGTAATTTTTGTTTGTTTGTTTTTAAGTTACTAGAAAAGACATTGGTTACTAGAGAAAAAATTTTTCTTGGTAACAGAAAAATTTTTCCTGGTAACATAGCTATCAATAGTAGTTATATTCTTATGTAGACAAGATTTATTTTCTTTTCTTATAAATTGTCCTAAAATGGAAATGTGTTTTTCTTTTTTGCTTTATGGAATTTCTTTGAAATAAATCTGGAATTCAAGTAATAACAATTTTCTCAGCTATTAGGGGATCTTGTGAAGAAAATGCGTAGGAATAATGTGAACCTCCGGAACAATGTAGTTTTTTGTTCTCTGTGATCATTCCGAATAGAAGAGGCGTTTCCTGGTACTTGTGAGTAAGTTAAGTTTTCCTTCAAACTGAGACTAAGACTCCAAAAGGTAAAACAATAACAGTTAAATAGTTAATAGTGGAAGTCAGGCTTCTCATACGTGTGTTTCTTATTATGGAGGATATTTTACTGTTGTAATGTAGGTCAGTCTCAGAGAATGTGCACTATTGCTGCATCTCTCTCTGGTTTTGCATTTTGGTTTTAGAGCATGTAAATTATGGCCCTCAATTAAGAATGAGATATTTATTAGCAGATATAATAGTCAAATCAATGGAGACTTTCTCAAGGAAAGTTGAATTTCACTGAGAAAGAATAATACCCAAAAAGCTGTTTGTCTACATTAATATGATACTTATCATAAGCAGATTGAAGAAATTGAAAAGTAAAACAAATAGCTATCTTATTATTTCAGAACACATATTTCCATTTGGAAAACTAGGTAATTAATGGAGAAAAATGATTCCCCATAATCACCAAGATTTTCCTCTAAAGATATGATCCTAGCATAGACCTTGGGCATCAGAGAATAAGTAGACACTCTTTGAAAGGCATAAAGCAATGTATGTGCCATAAAAACATTTTTTATTGGGACCAGCAGTTAGCGTAATTGCTATGTCGCTGGACTCCCATGTAGTCGACCGAGGTTTGAGTCCGGACCCAGTGGCTTAAACTCACCCCGAGTGCATGTATGTGCTTGCGTGCCCAAGATCCTGAGAGGAGAATGAAGGAGAAAGGATTGCAGCATGGCCATCCCCCCTGGGGGTGATTTCTCGCTTTCTGTCTCTTTGTCTCTCTTGCGAGCGCATGCGCCCTATAGCAAAAATCTCTCAAAAAAATTTTTATTGGATAAATAAAATATTAAACTGGGGGCTAGCAGGTGGTGTGGTGGTTAGGTGCAGGACATTCCTATATGACAGACCACCATTCAAGTCCCAGACCTGGTGGATTGCTTTTTCACATTCCCTCTCTCACTTCTCTCTCTCTCTGTGTCTCTCTCTGGTCAAATTAAAATAAATGAATGAATAAATAAAATTAAATAATTCTTAAAAAATTAAAAATATTGAGTTTACCAAAAACATTTTCACAATGTGTACCTCTTTTTCACATTAAACTGCTTCTCATCCCTAAAAATAAGCATTTCCACAAAATGGATGAAATTAAGAACATAGAAAAGCCCATTATATTTGAAGAATAGCCAACAATCTAGAGCAGGATGAATTTGAAAAGTTGTAATGAAAGATTTGGAGATGCAGCTGGCATGCAAGTCACCTAAGGTCTTGTAGGCCAAGTTAGGAAGATTAAATTTTATTTAATATAGGATGGAATCCACCATAGAGGTTTTAAGCACAAGACTGATAAAATATCAAAACAATCATTCATAATCAATGCCATTCCTTTTGAATATATAAATTTATTTGTGGTCTCTCAAGTATTATACTTTCTAAGATTTATACATGATGCATTTTTTTTCACTATAGGGCACGTGCGCTCGCCAGACAGACAGAGAGAGACATAGAGACAGAAAGCGAGAAATCACCCCCCAGGTGGGATGGTCACGCTGCAATCCCTTCTCCTCCATTCTCCTCTCGGGATCTTAGGCATGCATGCACACATGCCCGGCATGTTTTAAGCCACGGGGTCTGGGACTCAAACCGCGGTCGACTATGTGGGAGTCCAGCGACATAGCCATTACGCTAACTGCTGGTTCCCAATGCATTTTTTTTTTTATTGAAATCTCTTTTCATCTTCTCTTTAGTTAAGTTCAGTTAAAATATTGCTTCCTTTGAAGAGCCTTTCTGGATCTCATTGTGATTTGTATATTTTAAACTGTGTATTCATACAATGAAATAAATATGCTATAATCACATTATTAAATCAGTCTCTAATTGTCTGATATGTCTCAGGTCTGTATCAGTCAGGGTAAGAAACCATGTCTTTTTCCATATGACAGTTCTGAATTCTATAACTGATCACATTAATGTATACTGCATACATACTTATAATTAATTAAACAAATAAAAGGTAAGGCTATAATACATTTAAAGTTTTCTCCCTTGTTTTATAGGTAAAGAGCATCTAGCATCTAAACTCAGTCCACATAAACAATTAATGGAGCCAAAGAACAATGTGACTTTCTTTGTCTTCACGGGCCTCACACAAAACCCAGTGGAACAGAAAGTGCTTTTTGTGATGTTCTTGCTCTTCTACATTTTGACCGTGGTGGGCAACCTCCTCATTGTTGTGACTATTACTGTCAGTAAGACCCTAGGCTCACCCATGTACTTCTTTCTTGCTGGTTTGTCACTTATGGACATCATTTATTCCTCGGCCATTACCCCCAAGTTGATTTCAGACTTATTCTTTGGGAAAAATGTCATATCTTTTCAATCTTGTATGACTCAGCTCTTTATAGAGCACATTTCTGGTGGGTCAGGAGTCTTTATTCTGGTGGTGATGGCCTATGACCGCTATGTGGCCATCTGTAAGCCCTTGCATTATTTGGTTATCATGAGACGGCGAGTGTGTGTTTTGTTTCTGGCGGTGTCTTTGTTTGGAGGATTTTTGCACTCGGTAGTTCAATTTAGTGCTATTTACGCACTCCCATTCTGTGGCCCAAATGTCATTGATCACTTTTTGTGTGATATGTATCCCTTATTGGAACTTGTCTGTGCTGACACCTATGCCATTGGCTTTTTAGTGGTGTTCAATGGAGGGCTGATTTGTACAATTGTGTTTCTGGTCTTACTTACATCTTACGGTGTTATCTTGCACTCTCTAAAGAACCTTAGTCAGGAAGGGAGGCGTAAAGCCCTCTCGACCTGTGGCTCTCATATCACTGTGGTTGTCCTCTTCTTTGTTCCCTGTATTTTCATGTATGTAAGGCCTGTTAAGACCTTCCCCACTGACAAATTATTAAGTGTGTTTTATACAGTAGTAACTCCAATGCTGAATCCCTTAATCTACACACTGAGAAATTCAGAAATGAAAAATGCTATGAAGATGCTGTGGGGAAGAAAGATCTTATTAGGAAGTAGATTAGTGACTCACCCACCATGAAGACAGTCATTTGACATTAGGCCCCTTTCTTTTAAGAACCCTGAAGTTTTCTGAAATCTGATGTCATCTTAATTTTGTCAGCATTTTCCTGTCTTTATATATTATTCTAAAATTCCATCATGTAGTTTCCTCTAATCACTTTTCAGTTATTCTAGTATTGCTCATAATGTTGTTAGCATTTTCCTGTCTTTATATATTATTCTAAAATTCCATCATGTAGTTTCCTCTAATCACTTTTCAGTTATTCTAGTATTGCTCATAATGACTTATGCCTAATTTTATTTATAAATAGAAAGTGAAAATTGGGATAAAGAATGAACTATATGATTATGCTATTAAAAGTTCGTCTTTTTGCTTGAATATATGCTGTATGACTTCATGCTTTTACTTCACTTTCAGTGATTTAATGCATATATAACAAAGAAACAATATGTAATTAGTGAAGGTGTGTCATAATTATTGTAATTTTAAATTTACTCATGTAGGTATACTTTTGACATTTTTCTGAGGCTTAGTTTTATTCTTACTTTAGTGTCTGTCATTTAAGTTATTTGTTTTTATTATACTATCCAATATATGTAATGCTATTAAATATTATTTATATCCAATTTAACTTGTATTATGTAAAATATTTTAGTGTAATACTACTTTTTTGGGGGGGGGAGAAGTTTTTCGCTATAGGGCGCGTGCGCTTGCCAGACAGAGAGAGACATAGAGACAGAAAGCGAGAAATCAACCCCCAGGGGGGATGGTCACGCCGCAATCCCTTCTCCTCCATTCTCCTCTCGGGATTCTGGGCCAGCATGCACACGACGAGTTTTAAGCCACCGGGTCTGGGACGCGAACCGCAGTTGACTATGTGGGAGTCCAGCGACATAGCCATTATGCTAACTGCTGGTTCCCAATACTACTTTTTAAAATAAAATTAAAAACAAAATATATAACAAATTATAAAAGTGAAAACCATAAAATGATATAAAATAAAATAAAATCCTCCATTCATCTTTTTATTTTTTTAAAGGATTATTTATTTAGTTCTATTTTTTTTTATTTTTATTTGACCAGAGAGAGACAGAAACTGAAACACAGAGGGAGAAATTGAGAAAACAAGCCATCAGATCCAGGACTTGAACCATGGTCAGCCATGTGGGAGTGTCCAGTGCCTCAACCACCACACCACCTGCTGCTCTCCATATCTCTTTTTTCAAAGGAGTTATTTTATTTTAATTAATTAATTTGTTTTCATTTTACCAGAAAGAGACACAGTGAGAGAGAGAAAGAGAGAAAAAGTAATAAGGTAAGCCTTTAGGTCCAGGGTTCAAATGGTTGCCATGTGAGAGTCCAGCACCCGAACCACCACTCCACCTGTTGGCCCCACCTCCATTCATCTCAAAGTATAGTCTTCCATGTTCTTCCCCAGAGGCAGTTGTACATATTATCTGTCTCTTTAAGTTTCTTCAAGTAGCAGTCTTTGAAAATGCAACAGTGTTTAAACACACACACACACACACACACACACACACATACACATATGCTGTATGACTTGCTTTTACTTCACTTTCAGTGATTTAATGCATATATAATAATCACTTTAATTAGTGAAGGTGTGTTATAATCACTTTAATTTTAAATTTACTCATGTATGTGTGTTTTTGACATTTTTCTGAGGCTTAGTTTTATTCTATATATATGTGTGTGTGTGAGTGTGTGTGTGTTTATATATATTTCTCTTTGTCTATCAAAGTTTAAATTTTACTATGAAGTGTCTTGAAGATCTTCCAATAGCAGTCCAAATTTTTCTAACCCATTTTATTTTCTTTATGCTGCATAATGCTTTCTTATAAAAGTGTTCTAGGAGTAATACATTCAATGTTTATG